TCATAGTAAGTAAGTCAAATGAGACAGAAAATTTCAGTTAAATTAACATAAAGTTCAGGTTGATGGCTGGTTAATCTCATGTCTGAGTAAAGAAAACAACTCAATTGCCAACTGACTTTTCCTGATACCTGTGTGTCACCAAACTGATTGTGCCATTCTTGACTGTCCTCTCCTCACATACCGAGTGTAGGTCACTTCATTAGAAGAAATAAATGAGAAGATATTTATTCCAGTAGATTAAGTTATTCTGCAAAGGAAGATACTATTTGTATAAGGAAAACAAATCTACCTAATATAACAGGAGAATAAAACAGTAATTCAAAAGAAAAATGTGTTCTCCATTGTATCGGTTCAGTTCTTTAATATTAAAATTAGAGCTTTATATTCAGTAAGGCAGAGCAGCACAGTCCTTTTACTTATGACATGATCTCCTCAGCAAAGTTAGGATGTTTTTTCTTCAGAAACAAACATTTATATTCTTACACTTTGATTTTTTATAAATCACTTTCATATGTGTATTATTGACAGGACCCTGTTAGAAACACCAATACCTTCCAGAACACCAAAAAAATCTGTATTTAGGCAAACTCATAAAGCGTTTGATCTAATGATTTTATCGTGTGCCCACTGAAGGTAGAAATTCAGATATCAGCTCTTCTAAAAATACTAACTTAAATTTGATCAAAATTATTTCTTGCTCTTATCCCCCTAATTCTCAAATTCTCTCTTATCCACATCTGAGCCCTATTGCACTAATTGCAAGGTATAAACATAGTGGAAACACAAAAAATGACTTGAACATGCACTTTTCCCCCCTATATATATAATGATTCAAGCATCATTTGCCAAAAAGATGAAAAAAAAAGTCAGTAAAATCTAAATTGTCCTATCTGTAAATGACATTTATCAATTTATAAATTTATCAATCTATAAATTTATCAAATTTATCTATTTATCAATGCCAGTTCCCATCATTTAGAAGCCATTTGGAAATAACTGTTTGGAAGTATCAATTTAACTGATCCAGCAACTTTGTAGTAGGTCCAGATGATATGTCAAAGAATCAGTCTTGACGTAGAGAACTATTAGGGACCAGACTGGAAACAGTCCCTGCACCTGCCACAGCCAAATGGTAAAGGATCAGCCTCTAAAGCCCCCTGACCTCACTAAAGAGAGAAGTGTGTCTGTCCACAGAGGACTGTCACTTCGACATTGCTTTAGAGAAGGCCACAATGTGTTTATCTTCAGTGAAGTGGTCGCCTTCAGATATTTTATTGAGTTCAAGAGGAAAAGACTAGCAGTCTTTCACCTGCTGCTCTACGTGCTGAGTAGGTGATATTGGTACAGTTACGCTTGCTATGCAGTTATTGGTACAGTTATGCAGTTGCTATTGCACTCAGGGCAGGCTGGAGAGGCTCCACGCTGGCCTAACATAACTGTTTTCCAGCACATGCACAAAAACTTATGACTTGCAGACATGGGCAGTACTAGAAACACACGGCAGCAATGACATTGCCTCCAAGAGCCACCTGCAGCTGTTATCATTATTTTTGATCTGTGACACAGCCGGAGGTGATGCAAGAGATCCTTGAGTAAAAGAAAAGCCACTCACCAAAATTAAAGTAATGGAGGACCTAGGTTTAAGGGAGCCCCGAGAAAAGATCCTGTATTCATCTATAGATTAGAGCCCTTTCCTATGACCTTCTGTGGCAAGATCAGGCACTGGAAGTAGACAAAATAGAAAAAAAACTCAACCAAGGTTATCTGAGCTGCACATGGAAGACCACCTGCTGGACATCTGGCAGAGGCAGGGAGCAACCCCACACCCACCCAGAGACATTTTGCCAGTGGATTGGTACCTCTGCCTTCCTGCAAATGAGATTAAACAGCATGGTTGGATTGGAGCCAAAGCACTCGGCACCTTGCAGAACTAAGCTCACTCTGCATTAAAAATAACATCCAGCTCTTTGGAGTTTGCTGGAAACAGTAACTTGAAAACCAACATGTGTGCTGATGGGGATGGCAGAGCAGTAGAACAGGCCTGCCAGACCACACCAGAGCTTCTGGGGTGGCACCGGCCTGGAGACCTCCTGTCTCTGCAGCTCCCCTGGGTGCTGTGAGGTTGTGCAGAGGCCCAGCAGTGCCAGATCCCAGCTCAGAAGCCTCAGTGGGGCTAGTTTCCTGGTGGGAAAAAAGGAAGAGTTGCTTTCCCCAGGAAAAGACTGGGATTGTATATCCATGGCATTTTTTAGGTATGATGAATATTCATTAAAGACTTTAAAAATCTTTATTAAAGCTGCACCTACTGAACTCAAGAGACTGTGATATGTAAAGCAGCAGCAAACAAGCCAACAGCTCCTCCAAAAATTCAGTTTTACCACCTTGCTCATAAATCACTATTGCAATTCTGAACGCTTTGAAGCAGTCACTGAAACACAGTCAATTAATAACAACAGCAAATATCCACAGCTTAGATCAACGCTCAGCTGCTCCACTCATCTGGCAGCGTTACTCTGATCCCAGAAAGCCTTATGCTCTTCCAGCAGGATAACAGCCCCACAGGCAAAGAAAGGGTGTGGGATCTCTCCATATTTTATAAGATTAAATAGAGTTTTAAAAAGAATAGTTCAGTGCTCTGTGTCACTGCTCCACGAGCAGGAGAGGGGGCACCTGCTCAGCCCCAGCTGTGCAGGAGATGAGTGCAGCTGGCATTCAGCCACCAGGCACCAGGCTGCTTGCTTTTCCACTCCAATTTGGAATTGACCGTCAGCACACTTGTAAACACGGAAATCTGGGTCAATTAATGTTATGTATGACAACAGACCATGACATCTGTCCAGCACTGTTACTAATACACACAGCTTTCCACAGGAATATTTGCCTCTCAGTTTCCTACTCTGTCTCCTCTCAGTTTCAGCCCAGTCCCTGATTCCCTCCTTAAAGAAACTGGAGTACATGCAGCACAAGTGGGGCACATCAGAAGATCATGCAGCTTATTTAAGTCTTTTTAATTATTAAAAAAAATAAATAAATCTTAAAAAGGAATCAGTGTCTTAAAAGTCAGGCCTTTCCCTCATTGCTAGATGACCCAACTGTAGCACTCATTTCAGTTTTTCCATCAGACCTTACATGTAAGCTTACTGATTTTGTTTTAATGTGTCTTTACAGATAAAAAAGAGCTTTATAAAAAGGACACTGACTTGCTTGATAGTGGAAGCTAGTTTTAAATTGACATAGATAAAGGCATAAGCAAAAGACCCAAACCTTTAGTGATCCTTCTCTCCTAAATATTTATTTTGAGCCTAGAAAAAGAATTCCTATCTTCCCTGAATATCCGAATGAAAATCTCATGCAGTTGTTTAATTCCATGTACTTTGTGCACAACCCAGCAACACTGTTTCCTGATCTTATCTGTTTTCCAGCCAGCTTGCTTTCAAACAATTAGCTACATCAAGCCTTCCACTCAGCAAATCAATTGTTGATAGCTTTGGCTCAGCCAGATGTAAGCTTGAGCATGACAACAGGCCTCTCAAAAGAAATCATGAAAAATGGCAAGCAACTATTACAGTAAGCCTCACAAAAATAAATTACAGTTGCCATGTCCTGTGGCCTTTTGACTCTGATTTTGTTTATCTTTCTCTATTTCAGTATATTCCCCAAAGAACTAACAAAACAGACACTATCCAATTATTCTTTGGTAAGCTGTAATTCCTTCTAAAACGCCTTTGAAGTTGGTAGTGTTCAATGCAAGAAAGACTGGCAAAGCCCAGCCCAGTCCCAACATAAGCAAACTTTAAGCAAACAAAAAAAAAAAACACAAAACAAAACAACAAAAAAAAAAAGAAATAGCAATTATAAGAGTAAGTTCTCTACAATAACATGACACTTCATGTAAACAATGCTGATTGACCAGTCCAGGCCAATATTACTGTTCATAAACTTTGGCAGTGATACATTTGGGCAAGGAGGGAAGCAGTACGTATAAGACTGGGCCAAGCATGGAGGAAAAGCTGCAATTTCTGAATTCACTGTGTGTTCTGCACTTTTCAGGAATTTGTCCAAGCACTTTTTCCTCCTTCAATAAAAAAGTTAAAAAAAAGTAAGAAGCAAATTTTGTGAGACTGCTGGAACCAAGTACTCTGAAAGGATAAAATATTACCTCTCTTATGTGAGGTTACCCCTGAACAGAAGCAGCCCACCCCTAAGATGAAGCAGGAGCCCTGGTGACAGCGTCAGGCTAGTTTACCACACGTGACACCAAGCATACTGTGAACACTGCAGGTTTAGACAAATGATAACAAGCAAACAGGTTATTGCAGCTTAATGAGTTACTGCAGATTAGCTTGAGTCCTCATGACTGAGAACTCCCCTAAGGCAATTAAAAAGGAGGTAACCTGTTAACTTTTACCAGTTTTCTTTATGTGTCAGTATTTGTAAACAAATACTACTACATTTCATAAACAATCCCTTGATTAAGATTGGAATAAAATGAACACACACATTTAAAGTTTTCACACAGTTCTCAGAAAACACATTATCAGTTTATGGCCATAAACTTTTATCCAGTACTGCTAGGCATCCTGGTGGCAAATCTAATCTTTTTGTTAAGATCAGTCTAGGAAAATTATTTTCCTCTATGATTTTAATGTGAAGATTTTATGGACCTGTGAAAGGAATGGCAGGAAGGCTGGGCACTTTCCTCTGTAGCCACCTCAGTTTGCTCGTATGCTCCTTGCAGAGGAGGGGAGCCAAGAACCAAGAGTCTTGTGTGGGGGTCAGCATCTGCCCTGAGAAATCAGCTGTATGCACTGGAAGTACCTCTAAATAAGCACAAGAGATGGCTGCATACATCCTAGAGAGTAAAAACCAAGGCTAGGCTTTCACCAAAGGCATTCACATGAATGCCATGCTGTTTGCTTTTCTCAAGCAAGGTATCCCTGTTGCATGGCCCTGCACTCACAAAGGAGAGGAGATGCAGTTCAAGGACTGACAATAGATACTTTTTTTAAAACATTTTCTCTCTTTATTTCTTTTTCCTGATGACTGCTACAAGCAAAGGAGGTATTCAGAAATGTGACTGCACAATACGAACACAGGCAGCAAACTAAGTTGATGGCATGAAAGGTGTATCTGAGAACACAGAGTTGACAGAATCAGAGTCGGATTTTGTTCGAGTGGTTTTTAAGATACTCTCAGCTATGGCATTGTCATTAGGAAACAGTTTTACTTTTCCATTCTGACCGTGTTTTGGTTCGTGTACAGGTTCCAGGAAAACCACTCGTTTGCCAGTGCTGGCCTTCTTCTCATCGGCAGGCAGCTCTTGAGGTGGTGTGGAGTTCAGTATGGACGAGTGGGCACTGCTTTGGTTCAGCTTCCTCTTCCTCCTCTTTGTCTTGCATTGACACGGGCAGGGGGTCAGATAGAGATAGAGCAGTACTAAAACAATACTGGCTACACAGGCAGCAAGGGTGGTAAAAGCTGTATTAAATGCTTCATGAGCATGGGACCTGTTAACTGTGAAATTGCTCACATTTATTCTAACCTCTATGGTTTCATTCAATAGTCTTTTCTTATTTATTGCAATGCAGGAGTACAGCCCAGAGTCCTCTAGCTGGGCATCTGTTATCTCCAGGCTCCCGTTATGAAACACCCTAAAGTTGCCTGTGTCCCTGTCTGGCTCCAGCAATTTATTGTCTGGACTAACCCAAACAAAGTGTGTGCCTGCATCACTGATTCTGCTGTCACAGTGAATGATCAGCCTGTCACCAACCTGGGCATCATGAATAAACCCAAAGGCTTGGAAAGAGCTGTTGATGGTGCTTTCTGAGCAATTCAGAAAGTTGTCATGCAGTAAAGGCAGTTTATTGTAACCTCTTGGGTCCGATCGCAGCAAACAGGTGTACTCGCTTTTGAAGTCCATGACAGAGTTGAAGTGCCTTTGATACCAGAAGATCAGCATGGAGTACAGTGTACAGTCACAGTAAAATGGGTTGCCGTGAAGATAAACTCCACTGAGATGCTTGGCTGGCACCGAACTCAGGCGCTGGATAGGCATTGACTGGATGTGATTAAAGGAAACATCCAGCAATATGAGTTCTGTCAGCTTGTGTTTGCCAATGTACAAGTCCAGTGGGAAATGCGAGAGCAAGTTATAGCTTAAATACAATTTCTGCAATTTGTACAATCCTCCAAAGGCTGAAGACTCTATCTGCATTATCTGATTGTTGTACAGCAGGAGAACTTCCAAGGCCTTCAGCTCCTGGAACACGGGGCTGCCCAGCGTCTTCAGGCTGTTGGACGACAAGTCTAGGTACTTTAGGTTTGGGGTTGTGGAAAAGCTTCCAGTGATAATGCTGCTAATGCTGTTATGATTGATTATTAAAGTGTTCAGCTTCTCAAACAGCACCGGGACCCATTCAGGCTCTAAGAATCCAATTCTGTTATAACTCAGATCCAGCCTTTTCATACTTTTATAGAGATTTCCTGGCACCCGAGAGAGGTTTTTACTGGTGCAGCTTACGATATCGCTGGCACAGATGCAGGCTGTTGGACACATCCCCGGGGCACTGCCACAGACACTCACTGTGAAGACCAAGAGGCATGCCAACCCTCTGCAGTTCACCTTACAAACTCCAAGTCGAGTAGGAAGCATCCGGCAGTTTAAAGACATTGTCGCTGGCTCTTAGCTGGCTCCCAGTGCTTCTTGCCACAGATTACATGTGCAGCTAGCTTTGCACTAATCGCTGTCAAAAGAGGAATACAGAGGTACAGCACATTAACATTTAACATTCATACCCTGCCTGATTTCTTATGCATGCCTTCTGAACAAACACAGTGAATTAATCAATGCTTCATACAATTAGTTAGAAAATCTAGTTGTTAGACGATTTTAGCTTAGCGCTGGCTTTATGTAAACATGACGTTCTTCACTCATCTGTAAACATTCACATTAGAGACATGTTTTGCTCTTCAAAAAAATGCAACCGTTCTTCAGTCTTGGACTAAGGAATGCAATTTCTGACAATTTAAAATATATGTAAATAAAAAAAAAAAAAAGAAAAAAAAAACGAAATGCTCATCTGTGGAACTTGAATGGACAATGGCATCTCCTAGCTGTTTCCAAACCAGCCTAGGCAAAAAAACTTATGGTAGAGAGAGGAGGAAAACAAAAACAAACAAAAAATCTTATCCAAAAATATTGCCTTGTCTAGCAAGGAGCAGTTATGATATGTGTTTCTTCCCAGAGAATGCCTCACATTTTTAAGCAAAGAATTTTATAAGTCTCTTTAACTTTAAAGGTCATATGATTTATTATTATTTTTATTGTTAATTCAGTAACTGATAGTTCAGGAATCAACAGTCCATTTTTAAAGTTATTCCAAGTTGTTCAACTGGAATGCTTCATATTCTGTTACTTCTACCTTTGCCAAAATAATTGTAGGGGAGGAAATTTCCCATGCCTGTGCCTACCTCAAGCAGAAGTTTTGGGACCTTTCAGTTAGGATGAGTCAGCCATTTCTCAAAACTCATTAAAGGGGAAAAAAAAATGTTTTGCTAATTTTTCTTCTCAAGTAATAAGAACAAAACCTATCATACTCTTCTGAGAATATTTTAGTGTCACTATAGTTTGAAGCAGGGACTTAAAATTTGTCAGGCTGGTGGTTCCATGCCCAGGTATATGTTTTTTGCCATCTCCTAGGAAAATGTACACATAATTAGCAGAACAATGAACATTTATTTTCACTCTTGCTCTCCCTGGATACCTGTTAAGAGTTTGCCAGTAAATTCCCAGGTGAATCCATATGCATTGATTATCCCCACCCCTTCACAGATCAAGCGTGGTATTCAGCTCCCACATATTAAACTTGAACTCATTCCTCCAGTCTCACCCACCCATTGGTACAGTATCTGAGCAGGGAACCCCACACCGACAGTTGCTCTGGGCTGCTGACAGTGATATGTCCCAGAGCTGGGAGATGGAAGGATGCCAAGGGGCAGCAGGGAGAATCAAATGGAAATTAAATAGAGAGAAGCAGAATAAAAGGAGTTGTATTCGTTGATGAGGGGAGATGGATGAAAAAAGGATTCAGATGTTAAAATCAAGACCTGGAAGGTGGAGGACTAATGCAGAGATACAGGCAAAGAAGGGGTTAACGGGAAAGGGAAGATAAGAGATGCATGGAAAAGGAAGGGCAAAGCCAGGAAAGGAGGATGCTAATGGAGCATCATCATTGTAGCTAATGGAGCAAGCATGAGGTAGTTTGGATGCCATCAGGGCACAGAACTCAGCTAAAGCATACAATAAGCCTGGGAAAGCAGATAGGGAGGAAATAAATGACATAAAAGGGTTAAGCATAAGAAAGACAAGTGTTTCAAGAGGTGAACATTAAAACATACTTTTATGGAGAATTTGCATCTGGTACTTGTGAGTCTAAGATTACCTATGCAATCAATTAATCAATGTGAAATGCACTAATTTCCACTTGTCCCTCAGTTCCTTACTCCCCTCCTCCCTAACACTCTGCCAACCTGACAGGCTGCTGTCTTCTGCCAAGTCTTCTATTCTTAAGTCAAATGGTAGAGGTTGTGCTATGAATCTAGAGAGCCGAACCCTTCTAATGACCCATTAAAAGAAGAAATATGAAGGCAGCAGGAGGGGAGAATTCACCTTGCAAAAGAATTTATATATACATTGGATTTAAATGCTTGTGTTACCCAAAACTATATTAAGAGAATGACAGGGCAGCCATATCAAATATTCAAAAATTAGTATCACAATTAAGGTTTTCTGTGTCATTTAGATTTTTATATACTGCCCTTAGTTACATGCTCAGTTAGATTTCTCCCCTCCCAAAACCTTTTCTCATACTGTGCAAAGGATCTGTTGAAGAACATGGAAAAGCAAGGGTGATTAGGGTGATTACACCAAGAACTAAGTAAATGCCTGTGCATGACAACTGCAACATATCCTAGCTTCTGCTACACAATTCCTGTGACATCAGGCAAATTATGTGAACTGATGACTGTTAGAAAATCATGAGCTTATTGCAGTCATCAGCCTGAGACTCAGCAAATAAGGAGCTTGTATATGTTAAATCTGGGAAGGGCTGATCTGAAGAAGTGTCGAGATGAAAGTCAAAATTTTACGACTCTAGCTGACAGCTTTGACTATTGAGTTTTCTCCTTGCTTCCCTGTGTATAAAAGAGATATAGAAACATAATGTTAAGTATAAGAATATTGTAAACATAAATTAATTGATTATGAATCTTGATACTAAGATTTTATTCTAAAGTCTTATAGGTTTTCAGGTCATTCTGAAGTATCTAACAACATGGGGTTGTCAGTGGGAAGCTAGGAACCAAGAGGAATTAGTTTTAACCAATCCTAAGCACCTAGCTGGGGTGTTTTTGCTAGACAGCTCATCGTTTATGGAAACAATTAATAGATATAAGTTCATCTAGAGAGTGAGACCTATGAAAGCATTAGAGAATTGAACATAAGGAAATGATTCTGTACTCCCTCCACTGTGGATTTGTATGGCAAGCAGTACATAAGGCACAATGGAAACACTGAAAGATGTAAAAAGATTTTCCTAACTGCTCATTTAGTTAGCACATTGCTCAAAACAAGGTATGTGAAAACTGTATATCATAAAACTAGGTGCATAAAGACTGGAATTATAACACATTCGCAAAATGGGGGATAATTTAATGTTGCATAGGTTGCCTTTTCCACTAATATTTGACTGTCTGATTTTGCAGCCTCTGCAGACTAATTTCTCATGGAACTTCACTTGTAAAAAGATGAATGGCACTTTCAAAATCATCTCCTCTGTTGAATATAACTGCAATCCTGGAGATACTCCAAACAGAAAGTACTAGGTCAATGCCCAGCTTGAGAAGGCTTACCAAGTTGAATACACTAAATAGCCGCTGCATGTTTGTTTCTGTCCACACCTACAATTAACTCACTAGAAACTCTGAGCTCACCTGCAACCAAATCCCAAGGGCAGATTTGGGGCTGGTGTAAATCATCATAACTTTGACTTCAGATGGACAAACTTGTTTGTCTTGCTTGGGAAGGCAAAGCCAAGTTATGGATATCGCACATATACTAGAGGGCCAAACCAGGTTATTCTGAAAGCACCCTACCAAGCAGAAACCTTCCTTGCTGTGCCCAAATCACAGTGCAGTGTCTTCAGTCTCAACGGGGCCTTTCCCTTTCTGGAGGTTTGGGCTGCTGAGATGCAGCTTGTTCCATCCTTTGAGTACTTGTGTTTCCCCAAACTTCTGCATAACTTACACAGGCTGGTAGCAAAGCTAAGCATACCGAACACAAATATTTATAATCTATGTGATCATCTGAACCCTTTCAAAATGTCTGCACAAAGAGTTAGGTGTTGGTTATGTGCAGCTGTTAACTGGCAAGGAAGAATAAGGCTTATAATCAGCCTTATGTTAAAAAGCATTTTGTTTCATCCCAAAAGCATTACTTTGGGTCTTATAAAAGTATCACTTTGTAAATTTCAATATTGCATATTTTCTCAAGAATTAATGTTGTTAGATACTAGCAGCTAATGTGTGTCAACAGGCTCTGGCTAAAAGTACTTCACCATTTTCACTTCATTTCTGAATGGGCTTGGTAAATGGCTTTTTTTGAGTGAAGGGCATGGTTGGGGGACTTGCACTTGAATTCTTTACAAATAAATCATTTCTTTGTGGTGTTAAATATGATATTTTAAGTTAACTGCCAAAAACACAGTACTTCCTGAGATGAATCATCTGTGCAGTAATGGTGCACGTTTTTTAACCATTTAAGAAGAAATGCAGGATGTATTCTCATATCACAGAGAATATTCTCTGTTGTCAGTAACAGTTGACTACAATAGATCAGCTCCTAGATGATTTGGCTCCTGCTTTTGGTATTTTTTTTTTTTCATAAGTTTTTTGGAATTAATAAGCACCCAGAGCTGCTTATGGAAAGTGGGAATGCTGGAAGCCTGTGAATTTCCTCATTATCAGTTATCACTGCAAAAATCAACTAATGTCTTAAACAGTCATTACCATTTTCTCTGGGTTCTCTCTCCTATTAATGCTACATTTGTAATCTCTGCACCAGCTTTCTGTTCCTTCCAGGAAAACCTATATACCGAACTATTTCTCTCAGTTCATTTGAGACTTTGCTTAAATATATATATATGTGGCACCGTTTTTAATTTAAGTAGTGAAAGGGACTGGAGATTACAAGTCACCTGAATGCTTTTGCAAACACTGTCACTAGTCTTTTCAGTGTTAAAGTGGATCGATCTGCTTTCACAGTAGGAATAACATCTTCCTATACACTGGTGATACAAACAGTCTCACTCCTGGCTGGCACTTTCTGCACAGTGAAAATGCAAATATTTGTATACACCCCCCCACTCCCCCACCCCAATGTTGAGTTTATAGAATCACAAGCTCAAACACTAGAAAATATTAAAGACCTCAGTACAGACTTCTAAAAGGTCTGTACTATTTCCACATCTCCTAGCTCTTTTTATGCCACATCCTTGCACTTTATACAGTCCCTTAGCCCATCTCACCAGCCCACAAGTCACTCACCCACCTCTGCACCTTCCCATTGAATTGAATGCCCACACAGTTGCTCTTCCCCTTTCACTTTTCTAGATATCAGATGAATTAAGGCCTTATTAGTTAAACAGAATAACAGATGAAATGAAATTGTGGTGGCTCAGGTGTCAAAACAGTTTCCCCACAGTCCTTTTTTGTTATGAAAAAAATCATAATTAAGAAAGCTTTCATCATGAACAATGGGGGGGGGGGAAGACCATCAAAATGGGGTTTCAGTCAGTTATAGCAACGATATTATAGAAGTACAATTAGTAATACTTTTAAGCCTAACTTTACAAATCCTGCTTAAGTACACGATAGAACCATTAATTGCGAACAGACTAGTGGCATCTCACATGATTAATCTTTCTAAATGTTAGACTTACTAGGAAGGTCTGCACACACTTCCATTCTGTGTGTGGTGGGGAAAGAGTCCAAGGAAACATTGCTGTAGTGGCCACCTCACATATCTCCAGGTTTCGCTCTGCTTTTAACACTCTAGGATGCGAAGGCAGTCTGTGTCGAACCTGCCTGTGACAGCTGGGCTCAGCATTTCTGACAGAGCAGATCTGGATTACCCAGACATCATAATCCATGATATTCAGTGACATGATGGATTGGGAAGCAGAGCCTGTTTGTGATCTACATCTGGGTGATGCCTTGATATACTGGACTAAATCCCTGAACTGGGCTAAGCTGTGCTTGGTGCAGGACCTAACAGAGATGAAAAAATGGCTTTACATCACCTTTGCAGCAAGCCGATCCTGAGGTCAGCCTGGCAAATGGAGTGATCTCTCTGGCCAGCACCTGGCCAGACCTCAGCAGTGCTGGACTGGGGAGGAATTTGTCCCAGTAAACCTGGCCAGCTAAAACTATTTTCTCCCACACATCCCTCACCAAAGACCGAATCTCTCTGAAGACAGACTTGTTTATTTCTTTCCACCCGTGGCAATTCACTTGGCTTAAAGAAAACTGAGCAGCTGGGTGACGTGCCACGGGTCTGAGCTGGGCTGATCGCGACAATTTGGCTACGGCACCACCATCTACGTGAAGTCAACACCCCACAGCTCCTGCTCCTCTTTAAGAGCGCAAGGGAAATATGCTCAGCGGACCAGCAACGCACCCCTTTCTCCATGCTTCTCTGTAAATCAGGCTGCGCCCTAGCTCCAACCTCGCGGACGACTTCAGTTGCTAAGGAGATCGCCCCACAATTAAGAAAAACGCAGTGACAAGCAGCGGTGCCTCACTTACAGCACCACCAACCAGTCTCCAAGCGATGCCAGATCCCACGAAAGTTTACTTGCCCAGCGGAGCATCCCCACCGCCTCCAGGAGCTTCTCCCACAGCCTAAACTTCAGAGCCCCCACCCCCGCGCCAAGAGGGCTTGGGGCAGCACCCCGAGGACCAGTGCTGGGACCCGGGACAAAGTTTTAGCAACCCTTTCGGAGGCGAGCCAGGCGGGGAGCAGCTCACCCCGCAGCCCACCGCTCCCTGCTCTCCTCTCCTCTCCTCTCCTCTCCCCCCGCCGCCTGCCGGGCTGCGATCGTCTCCGGTCCCCCCCGTCTCCCCCGGCGGGCAGCGTTACCTGCAGCGCCCGGCGGCCGCCTCATGGCCGGGGAGAGCGGTGCCGGTGCCGGCCCCGCCGCCAGCCCCGCATGCTCCGCTCCGCTCCGCTCCTCTCCGGAGGTTGGGGGAAGTTTGGGGCCGCAGCCAGCGCCGGCAGCACGGCTGAGGATGGTGATGATGATTATGATGATGAAGATGATGATGAGGAGGAGGATGAAGATGATGAAGAGAGAAGGCAGGAGACTGCCAGCCACAGCAGCAAGGAGCGGGCTGGGGCTTTTATCCCCTCCTGCCCCCGCCCCTGGTCCCCGCCGCCGCTTCCCCTCGGCGGCAGCGGGACGGAGCCGCCGGTGCCCCGGGGAGGGCCGCGCCGCCCGCCCCGCTCCGCCCCGCTCCGCTCCGCACCGCCCCGACCCGATCCGCCCCGCTCCGATCCGATCCGATCCGATCCGATCCGCGGGGATTTCCGCGGCCCTGCGCGGGGGGGCGCGCCCGATCCGCTCCGATCCGCTCCTCACCGAGCCGGCGGCGGCTCCCCCGGCAACTTTCGGGCTTGCCTTGAGCTGTGCGAGAGCCGCTGCCAGGTCGGGGAGAGGGAAAGCTGCAAGCTGCAAGCATCCAAGCACCCTTCCCTCCGATCCTGGGTGGTTGTTAACCTTCCCCGGTGAAGTTGCTGCCTAAATTTCCTCCATCGTTTCGAGCGCCCTGCGTGTAGAGGCTGAAGCTGAACAGGGACTGGCTTAGCGAATAGCAGGGGTTGGGGATTTATTGTCATCCGGGCATACAGTTTATAGAAAAATTCTCAGCAAAGAGGGCTTGTGTCTTAAAGCTGCTGTAAATCACACTTCTTGCAAGGGCACATATCGAACTGGTGTTTAATATCAGCGTTCGTGGCTACATGTAATGCTCAAGGGATCCTTCTTACCCTAAAATTCATGCTACAAGCAAACTGAAATTTTTTAGTATAGTACAAGAGATCTGTTAAAAATTGGATTCCGTGCAGATTAGAGCCTTGTGAGCTGTGGGTGATACTGCTATCAATTTCAAATACTTTTGGATCACTATCTTATGATAAAAATTCAACTTTTTATTAATCATTCATATTCTGTGTTTATTTTCTGCAATTCTGGGTGTTTAGATGATGCACCATATATAATAATAATTTCAATCTCCAGGTTACTGATTTGACACTGTTTGGTTTCAGACACTCCAGTTGAATTTGTTTAAAGAAGCTAGTTATCTCCATTTAGAATAAACCATTAAGCATTTCTAGTTGCCTCAATATATAAAATAATGGGTAAAATTTAAATTGTTCACACTGTCAATAGACTCTGAGGAAGATGATATTAGTGTTCTGTTTCCTTCCCCTGCTATCAAAACTGAAAATGTTAAGCCTGAATTCTTTTTACAGTCCTTCTTGTGGAATGGTGATGTGATAACATATGGAGTAGCCATCCATTTGTACTTTGCATGCTTTCTTTAAATAACCTGGTTTTGAAATGATAACAGTTTTAACTGCGGTTTGTTCAGACCATGATAAGTGTGAAACACAGGTAGGTGCAGTGATGGCACTACTTGTAGCCAACTTAGTTAGATTCCAACCATGAAATCTTGGCATAGTGATAATTACTTTGGGGAGGCAGGATCCAAATCATAGCGAAGTGCCTAATACTTAAGGAAATAAAAATGTTGTTTTCCAGGATTGTTTTTTCCTCATGAATGTTGACTAGGATTTGCTTTTGTGTAGGAGATGTCAGGGCCCAGATGCTCAAGAAATCAACGGGAGTTGTGATGATCTTTACATGACCTGCTCAGCTTATGGACGGAGGCCATCTGCCAAGGAGCAGACTTTGCACAGAAATCGTGATCAAGGGATGCATCAAACAGGCTGAGGGGAGTTCAGAGCTACAGGATTCTTGTAAGTCTGAGAACAGCTGGTTGTGAGCCCAGCAATTCTTTGTTCCCACTGAATGTTGACAAGTTTGCTCATGGCATGACGCAATCTAATGCATTGTGCTAATTCACAGCCTAAAGGTGCTTTTGACACTTGTTACGTACTAAATTACAATGAATATTGTTTTTAAAATTCTAACTTGGATGGGAACAATTAGTAATTATCTTTCTTCTAGCAAACAGTACTGGTGTGAAAACAGTACCTATCCAAAATCTTTGTTGATCGTATGTGGGCACAAGCTGTGTGAAGCTGACAGTCCATTAATTAGGACATGAAGCCTTTCTTGTGATAATCTGTACAAATGTAAGGTTTCTGGCACCACCAGTAGAGATTTTTTATTACAGAGAATTGCTGATAGCTGTCTCCTTCTTCCAAAAACATCAGGATCCTGCCTGTGTTTCCCTGCCCCTGTACAAAACTATCTATTAGTCAAAACTATCTATTAGTCAAAGCTTTTCGGTGATGGAACTGTTCTTGTTTTCATGTCCTGCGTAGTACCAGGGAGACTGATGGGCTTGAGATGGGCTTTTAATAACAGTATTTTCCCTGTGCTCTTGAAAGCCCCACAAATACTTAAATGCCTGTATTATCTTTAAAAAAAATAAAAATACGTGTATATCTCTTTTTAGTAAAACAGCAACTTTATTACAGTTATATCATTAAACTGATCATTAAAGGACTTTTTTCAAAAGCAGCATCCTGATTTGACTTGGCTTCAGGGAATTTACAGTCCCTTCATGAACAAGCAACAAAACTGTTCTGCTAGGGACTGACTAGGAGAAGCCAAGGGGCTGCTGAAAGAAAGAAATATCCTCCACCTCTCCTGTCATGCTCTGCTTCTGGCTGGAGCATGGTTTTCTACCATAGTGCTCACACAGAAAGAAAGGGTGCCAGTCTCCAGTCTAAGGTCTGCTGTATACAGTTACAGCCACTGGGTAACATGCAGTAAAAAGGGTTAGACAGCCATCTTCCTTTCTGTGATTCCTCTGCCTCAGTACTGAATTAATTCTGTTCCAGTGTAGGTCTACTCGGATGGTCAGTGTAATTCAGTGTGCTGGGGGCCATGGGCTGCAGTCCCACATGCATGAACTCAGAGCTGCTGCCACATGAGGATTAAACACTGATTTGTGTGTACCTAAGAGGAATAGTATCGCCTCTTCCCCCAGCCATGTTTTAGGAGAAAGCAATATCCAACAATATATTTTGTCTAAAACCAAAGAGCTCGGACAACACCTAGTGGATCAAGCCCCATGGGAGAGAGCACTGGGTCCATGGATTCTGTCTGAGCTTCAGTGTGAGATACATGCACAGGCACTGAGTCCTGTCAAGACCATAATGCTTTTGGCATGCCCTGAAGCACAACATAACTGCTGTCATGTCCAGGGAGCTGGAGACTGGAGGGTCAAATACTGCCATGCCTCAGGGGTTGACAAGAACAAAGAGGTCTGGCAGTGATGGAAGAGCCAGGCCTGGGTTTTAAGGCTGTCCGTGTATGTCAGATGATGAGCAGGACTGTCACCTGAGGGTTGTAATCACTCTTTCCGGCTCTGTTTTCTGCCCAGTTTGGAAGAGCTGTGCACTGGGCCCAGCTTCATTCCACCACATGCTTACCAGCCTTCTCAGTCTCTAAGGGCTCAGCCTCTTTTCTTCTTTCTCCTGCTGAAAACGTCCTTATCACTCCCCCATGTGAATAACTATGTCGTTAGACTAACTTAGTCATTAGACTAAGGAGAAAGAAAATAAAAGCCCGATTCTTTAGCCCTGTGACTGGAACTCTTACCTATCAGGATTGTACTCACTCCCTAAAGGGACAAGCTATTCCTTGCTCCCCATCCTTACATCAGAAGTGTCTTTTGTTCCTCTCTGTCACTCAAACCTATTCTATTGCTCTTTATTTTCAGGTTTATAGATCTGCAGGTCTGGAAGGGATGCTCAAAGAGCTATGGAGTATCATCTGTCTGGAGTATCATCTTTCCTCACTCCACTCTCAGACTTGCCACCAGCTGGTAAGTACTGTTGAACAGGGAGACAGAGTGGCTGGCATTAAATTGAGGTTCTCATTAGGGGGGGAGTATGCTACAGAATAAAAGCTTTTCAGTACTTCTGTTTATTGATTTGGCCCTGACTTCTTGCCCTTTCTCCATTCAGATGTTCCTTTAAAACCTCAAATGTCAGTTTCTCAGTTGGGCAGGTTTGCTGTTGTCACTTGCAGTCTTCTGTGATGTCTTTGCTACCTCTAGGATTTCATAGGACTGAGGATGGGAAAAAGACCAGCAGATATATCTTAGATGTCTCTGTCAGTTAAATAAACTGATTTACTTTAAGGGTTGTCTTATGTGCTAGTCCCATTTTTATAACTTACAGAACACACAGTTGATTTCTGCACAGTTGATTCTGGTTGATTTCTAAGACAATCAAAGAGCTTATACCTAGGTGTTCACAATACAGAGGTGTGCTTCCTATGTGTTACAAAAAGAAATGAGCATTCTAAGACACGTGTCTACTTGGGATGGGATTAGCCATTGAAACCTGAGAGTTAGAAACAACACAGGTGAGTCCTTGTGAATCCTCGTGGATTGTTAGGGTCCTTAAGTCTTAGAGTCTGCAGATCTCAAATGCACATAGAAACTTTGTTCAGTAGTCTTCAAGTCTTTGGATCGCATTTACATGCAAGGAAGGCATCTTTAAGCACTGGAGGATAATTTATTTTCATTTTCTATTCCAAAGGCAGCACTTCAGAAAATGTTACAAATTAACAGAAAGTTATTGGTTCACTGAATTTAGCCTTTAATAGTAAGAACATTTGGGAAAGTAATTTGTCATGGCCTCAAGCACTCTCTTTTAAAGCAGTACGATAGCAATTGTGTGATAACAGGTAGGTAACCTAACCTTTAAAATGCAGTTCTCCATGCAAATAAACCTTGCTGATGGACTTAAAAA